GGGGGGGGGGGGGGGGGGTGGCAGGCTTCTTTTCTGCTAACACGTGTTGCTGAGGCTGGGCTGCAGCAGGTCAGAGGCTGGGGTGTGTGTGTGGCAGGGGGGGCTGTATTCGTCTAGAAGATTCCCTCGTGGCTGGGGAGGCCCCTGAATAGCATGTAGAGGGGGCCTGGTGTTTCACTTTTGTCTGTCTGAGATGGTGTGAGCGAGGCCCCCACCTGCAGGCAGGGTTTGGGTGCGAATGACCTCAAAGCCTGTCCTGGGGGGTGGGCTCACAGAGAACATGAGAGCCTGAAGATCACTTTATTACAGATGGGGAAATAGGCCCAGAGCAGGGGCATGATAGGCCCAAGGTCAGTGGTGGAGTTGGGTTGAGACCCCTGGTCCAGGGCTCTGTAGTCCTGTGACTCTGTCCCTGCTGCCCACTTGTGCCCAGGGTACCGGTGGTGGGGCCTGCCCCGGTGGCCATAAGTGTTACCTGCGGGCTGCTTTGGAAGCCGGTCGGTGAGGTTGTTCACTCTTTTAAACCCCGCAGCATCCCTGGGAAAAACAAGTGGAGGCAAGGTCAAGGTCTGTGTCCTGTTGACGCATGGAGAGAAACTGAGGCAGAGGATCCCAGTGGCCACTTCCCAGGTTCCAAGGAGGACCTCACGGTCCCTATGGAGGCCCCCCCCATCTTCCTGTCCCTGTGGAGCAGGTGTTGGGCGAGGCAGCTGCGAATGGGAAGGAAGCCATGGCCACATCCCCTGGGCTCCACAGGACAGACCCCCTGGGCTCCCCCAGTGTCCATGGCAACCTGGACAGAGTGAATGAACGGCGGGTAGTTGGGCAGGGGTTGCTAGGGGAGACAGTAAACTTCTTTCATCCTCAGCGTGGTGACCGCCTCTTTCCCTTTTGAATTACAAGTAAAACTGAAAGGCTGTTTTGTGAGCGGTAGAGTTTGTGGAAAGGGGTGAGGTGTGGCCGGGAGTGGCCCTGGTCTGGCTGTGAGCACTGGGGAAGCGGGCGGAGCACCCAGCGACGGCCTGAACCCCTCCACGTCACAGCAGCACACAGCCCCCGTGTGCAAAACGCACAGAGCACAGGCCGCGATCGGACCCCACACAAGACACGTCACACGGAAACACGAGTCCCCCGCGGTGATACGCGCTCAGATTCGTCGGATTCGTCACCGGACACAGCATAAGTGACACCGACAGCCGGGCACCGCACAGTCCCCCCGCCCCGTTCACAGCACGTACCACCCAGACGCACAGCCACACGGACGAGACGCACCATCCTGCAGACGACACGACACGTGGTCTCACATCTCACGGACACACACGGCCAGACAAAGGCGTGCGTACCTGCACGTGGCCTAGAGTCGCTGATCCGTGTGCCCCAGACCCCCCCACGTACAGGCCTGCATGCAGACGTAAAAACATACGAACACACGGGCACCCCTGTGCTTGCACTGCCACAGAGACCTGTGACCACAGAGGCCTCCTCGCGGAGGTCTCCATGAAGGCCTGGACTCAGAGATACACGGGGTCCCTTATGGAGACAAATGCCAAAACACACCCAGCCGCCGCCAGATACACATAGCATCTCACTGCGCTGAGATGTAAACAGTCTGCCTGTCACCTGCCTTAGGTAGGCTCCAGGCAGACCCTGGTCACGGGCCTGCAGCCTGCCTTCCAGGCAGAAGCCCCCAAGAAGTCCCCACCGGCTCCTCTTTATGGGTGGCACCCCAGTGGCCACTGTCGCCCTGCCCCAGCACAGTGGTCCGTGGCTGAGTGGCCCCTGGGTGCCCTGGGTGTGAATACAGGCCCGGAGGGCTAGCCTGGTCTGGCCTGTTATTTAGCCAGGGCAAATAACCCTGGAAGCTTTGGAACCCACGCGAATGCCGGGCCCGGGCTAGCAGCCCAGGCAGTGGGGAGGTGGATGGTGAGTGTGGGCCTGGGCTGGAGTCAGCTGGGCTGGGCTGTCTTCCCCTTGATTCTCCCTGACGAGTGTCCCTCTACTCTCAGTCCTGCTCACCCTCAACTGCCCATTCCCTCTTCCCCTCCCCAAAAGCTTGAGGAGGCTGCTGGGCCTCCCGGGGCCAGCAGGTGCCTAAGGGGTTAGGAGGCTCAGCCAGAGTGGGGCACCGCCTGTGCTCACGGCCTCTGACAAAGAAGGGGCTGCCAGCTGCCTGGGGGTGGAGCAGGGTGCTGACGGCAGCTTCCCGCAAGGTGGGAGGTGGGGGTAACTTGGGGCTGAGATGAGACGGTATTAATAAGCGTGCCTTATGTTAGAGAGTTTGTGCCTCTTACAGAGACAGCACTGTGTGCGTGTCGGAGTGGGGGTAGGGGTGGGGTGGGGACTTCACCTCTGTCACCCTGGGGATGTTTGAGACCGCCCCTGTCCTTATGTGTGTGCATGTCTCTAAGCTCAGATACGCACGTGTATATTGTTGCTTCTGCTTGAATGCATTCACATTTGTTCATGCGATTAATTCATGATCTCCACAAACATGCCACTGCCACTCCTCTGGGTCTAAGATACAATGGGGAACAGAAATCCAGGTTTTCCTGAGCACGGTTTGGGTGGTGGTGAGGAGACATAGGCATGGAGCTAATAATCAACCGCCGCGGGTTAGGTGTTTGGCGGAGAGGATCACTGTGCACGGTGCATGGAGGCTGTAATGTTTATCTCCGGGTGCAACTTTGTGTTTTGCATGCAAATGTTCCTGGGCCCACCTGCATGTGTCCATCCACGCCTTGTCTGTGTGTCGATGCATGTTCAGCCTGTGTCCATGCACAGCGGCATTACCCTGTGCACGCGCGCATCACATCCCGGGCTTGCCCATCTATGCCTGCAAGGCATTGTGGGTCTGGGCCCAGCCTGGCACCCTCTGCAGAGCTCTGGGCCTGCTTTCCCGAGAGGCCTGCGCCTCTCACCCAGGCACCTTCCCTGCAGCTGGAGCAGGCTGTGCGGCTGGAGTCTGGGGAGCCAGAAACGCAGGAGCCCACGGGGCTGGTCCGGCAGAGCGTGGAGCTGCGGAGGCAGCTGCAGGAGGAGCAGGCCTCCTACCGGCGCAAGCTGCAGGCCTACCAGGAAGGCCAGCAGCGGCAGGCCCAGCTTGTGCAGCGGCTGCAGGCCAAGGTCAGGGCTACCCACTCCTGCTCCTGTCCCCCGTGTGCTCGCTTTGCCCTGTCCCCAGCCCCTGGGGCTAACCTTCCACTCCCCACCCACCCGCAGACCCTGCAGTACAAGAAGAAGTGCTCGGAGCTGGAGCAACAGCTTCTAGAGAGATCTACAGAGCTGGAGCGGCAGCGGCTGAGGGTGGGTGCCGGCGTCGGGGGGCGGGGCGCGAGGCGGTCCCTTCCCTCTGCTTGCCCAGGCTGATGCCCCACTTCTCCCACCCAGGACACAGAGCACAGCCATGACCTGGAGAGCGCCCTCATCCGCCTAGAGGAGGAGCAGCAGAGGTGGGGTGTGGTAGGGAGGGAGGCTAGCTGGTGGGGCTGGCCTCTCCTGCCATGTGCCCACCGGTCCCCTTCATGTCCTCCCCAGGAGTTCCAGCCTGGCCCAGGTGAACTCCATGCTCCGAGAGCAGCTGGACCAGGCGAACTCGGCCAACCAGGCTCTGAGTGAGGACATCCGCAAGGTGACTTCTGACTGGACACGCAGCCGTAAGGAGCTGGAGCAGCGGGAGGCGGCGTGGAGGCGTGAGGAGGAGGTGGGCACGGGGCTCCTGGGAGGCCACTGGGGCCTCGGGGTCCCAGGCTGGCCGGCGGGGAAGGGCCACCGTAGAGTGGTGAGGACTAAGGAGCCGAGGGGAGAGGGAGAGAGAGAGAGAGGGACGGCCTGCTGGCCCATGAGCCTTTTAGGAGAGGTAAAGAGTTTGTCGTCGTAATAGCTGGCCTTGCTTAGCCTACACGACATGCCTGGCATGCATTTTCTCTTCTGTTCCTCCTAATAACTGTGTGTGGTAGGTGCTGTCATCCTCATTTTAAAGAGAAGTTAAGTCATCCGCCCACGGTCATGCAGCTGGCAGCTGGGATGCAAACCTAGGTCTAGCTCCAGCACTTTCTGCCTTTTGCGCTGCCTCGTGCAGCCGCAGCCCGTGGAGGCGTTGCAACCCGTTCCCTGTGCGAGAGGGAGGCTTGAGAGCCTGAGCGGTGCGCGCAGGCCGGGCGCGGGCCCAGGGGAAGACCCACTTCCCGGACCGACGACCGGTCTCCCGCGATGGTTGGAGTTGGGGGAGGAGGCGGAGCTGGGGAGGGGGCGGGGCCTGGGCGGGGCCGGGAGGAGGCGGGGCCGGCCCTCACTCAGCCCGCCTTCCCTCCAGTCCTTCAACACCTACATCAGCAACGAGCACAGCCGCCTGCTCCTCCTCTGGAGGCAGGTTGTGGGGCTCCGTCGGCTGGTCAGCGAGGTGAAGATGTCCACCGAGAGGTGAGGCCCGGCTGGCGGAGGGGCGGCCTGGGGAGACGCTGCAGCCGCTGGAGGCAGCCCCGCTTTTTAAATTGAATTCAACTCCGCAGTTGAACTTTAGTCCAACCTAACGCACCTACTGTGTGCCAGGCCCTGTAGAGGTGCAGAGACAACTAGTAATAGTTAATTCCGACCACCGTCATGGCAGTCAGCAGGTACTAGGTGTTTACTCTGAGCTAGGCTCTTTGGCTGTTTCGTGTCTTCTGATATGGACAGGGTCCCAGGAGGTAGGAGCTGTGATACTCCCCACTTCACAGATGAGGGCACTGAGGCTCAGGGAGGTAGAGTGACCTCCCCAAGGTCACACAGCAGTAAGTAAGTGGCCTAGTCAGGATTTACAGCTCCTGCTTTTAATCTGCTAGAATGTGCAGCTTCTGCCACAGGACCTCGCAAGCTCTAGTGATGAAAAGACATGGACCCCCCAAATTCTAGACCGAGGAAGTGAGTGGTGAGTGAACAGAACAGAGAGACTATCCCAGATGCTCAGAAGGATGGGAGGGTTGGGGAGGTCAGAGAAACACTTCATAGACGAGGTGAAATTGGCACTGACCTCAAGGGCTGGGTAGGATTTTAACCACCAGAGACAGGGGCACTCCAAGCAGAAGAAAGAGCGTGAGCAAAGGCTCGGAGGTAGGAGGAAATGGCAGCCAGTGGGTCTGGAACAAAAGGCAGGGGAAGGGAGGTCAGGTTGGGAGAGCCTCAAAGGCCCATGTCAGCAGGGGAGCTCGGTCCTGCTTGATCTTTGAGCAAGTGAGGTGGCAGGGAGAGCTGAGACAGGCAGAGTAGTTCCTTTCTTTTTTCGCGTTACAATTTTATTTAATTATTTATTTGATGATCTTTTGTTAAAGCTTCTTTTTTTTAAATTTGTTTTTTTTATTTAAAAAATGTTTTTAATGTTTATTTATTTCTGAGAGAGAGACAGACAGAGCATGAGCAGGGGAGGGGCAGAGAGAGAGGGAGACACAGAATCTGAAGCAGGCTCCAGGCTCTGAGTTGTCAGCACAGAGCCCGACGTGGGGCTCGAACCCACAAACTGCAAGATCATGATCTGAGCCAAAGTCGGACGCTTAACCAGCTGAGCCACCTAGGCACCCCAGATGATCTTTTCTTTAAGTCATCAGGTATTCAGTGTCCAAATTTCTAATTGGCTCATCAGTGTCACAGATGGTTTTGCTTCACTTTTTGTGTTTATAATTTGTTTGAATCAGGATCCATCATAGATGCTCACCAAATGTGATTGGCTGACTTGCCTCTTAAGTCTTTTCATTTATTTGTTTAGGAAACTGGGACAGTTGTCCTGAGTGATTCCCATAATCTGGATTCTGAGGTGGTGTTTAACACCTTTGTCCCCTGTATTCCTTGTAAATTGGATGTTGGATCTAAGCGTTGATCAGATTCAGGTTCAGATTTCTGTTTTTTGTTTTTTTTTAAACAAGACTTCTTCCTAAGTGCTGTGTGCTCTTCTATTAGGAAACCCCAATGCCTGGGTGCCTCTCTTTGTGTACATTGGAGGCCCTTGATGCTCAGTGCCAAGACTCAGACACTCATCAGGGGTCACCAAATCATGAATGTCCCATTCTGTCACTTCTTCGTGTATTAACTGGAATTCTTCTATGAGGCACTTCCTCTCCTTAGTATTAGGCACCTGGTGGTATAGTTGATTCAGGAAAGGAAAGGATTTAGCCTGTTTGATATATTAAAAAATATATATATATGTGTATATAATATATACATTATATATATATGTTATATATATTATATCTATATACATC